TCCACTGCTATTACAGTTCTCAAGTGCGAGGTGCCAGAGGCCATGTATTGCTAATTATGAGTACTCGAGTTTATAAGTGCCTAATTTAAAAAAAAAAAAAGCAGAGTGGAGCTTAGCCCTGTCATCCACTTTCATGCAGAAATGCTTTCTTGAGTGGGACAGAAGGAATAACACTCCACCTAGTCCTCTGGGTATTGGGCACAACCCAAGCTCATCTGCGGCCTGTGGGAGTGTGTCCTGAAACATCCAAATATCATCTGCCTTGGGGCTTTTTCTCATCAGAAAAAAAGGCTGAACATGATGAAAATCTCACTAAAGAACAGGCAGATGTTCCCACCTAAAATTATTATTGTTTGTTTTTTGGTATGCTTTGGCTGTATGGTATTAAAAGATGAAAGAACCCTGGAAAAACATTGTTTCTCTCAATTAATAAAGGCTAGATTTATTTGTTTTTACCAGTCATTATTTATCAACACAAGTTAGTGTGTTAGTGTGAAAAATCATCCTACAGGCTTTCTTAGATAGATATTAAAAGTAGCAAATGGGAAAGATTTTTACAAGTGGAGGAAGACTACTTCTGATCGATGAAGCTGTGTGGGGGATACCCTTGCCTGCCTCCTTTCTCAGATATTTCCTGGTAAGAGGTTGCAAGGGAAGAATTAAAGATGGCGAAGCTGTGACTCAAAGAGGTTTCATGTTTTACCTGTCGTCCTGGTTGGGGTGTTTCAAACATCTGTTTGTCATGTCCATTAGGAGAAAAACTTCAAAGAGTTCTAATGTTTTCCCAGGAGGTATCTTTGTGGTAACCTCAATTTTTCTTTTTCAATTGATGTCAACAATCTTTACTTATGGTCTCAAATTTAACATAAAATGAAGTCTTTACTCAAGCAGAAAGAATGCGATGAATCTGTAGTTGTTTGTGTCTCTGGGGGGTAAACTAGGCCCAGATCCATGAATTTCTCAGTTACAGACAAAAGTGAGTAGGGGTGAGTAGGAAGAAAGAGAATATTTACCTTTGTTACAACCCAAAATAAAATACCATTTTTTGCAGCCGCAGATTGTGATCTATTCCTCTGGCCCTGGGGATCACTTTAGACTTACTAAAGACAGCAAAAATCTGTTAACTTATTATAGAAATCCAAGAGGGAGTTTTGAGCACGTGTAACCTGAAAACTGGGAGTAAAATAGTAAGGCTTTGTATGCAAGTTCAGTGATTTGCTTCTTCGTTCGGTGCCTTAGTCTCCCTCTCTGTAAAAACAAATCTTCTCTCACAGCTCATTAATGGCTTCATCATTGGTGTTCAGATAGCATATTCTTTAAAAATCAATAAACAGTTGTGGTGATCGATGCACAACTCTGCGAAAGTATTAAAAACCATAATCTTATACATTTTAAATGGATAAATTATGTGGTATGTGAATTATATCTCAATAAAACTCAATATATTAGAAAAATCAATATTTAAAAATATCATAGGGTTTGGGGGTTTTTTTCTTGGTAGATTTACCCTCAAAACTGAATGTTCTTCATGACTTCTTCAGCAGTAAACATGATGGTTGAAAGCCCCGTCTGTTCACCGGCTCACTGCCATTACCTGTCACTGCCTGCCCTCTGTGCACACTCGGGTGGCCGGGCACGCCGAGTGCTTACGGGTGGGAGACTGCTCTGTATATCCACACACCTCCACTCCTAGCATCTGACATATGTGCTTTCCAAACCTATGCATGCCAGCTGGGCTTGTTTTTGTAATTATGTCATTTAATTAGATTTTTAAAATAATCCATTTATATATAGGTTCTAAAAGAAAGAGTTATATTTTTGAAAAGAAAGGCATGGGCTTTGGAAAGACTAGACATAGGTAATTGCTATGAAAAAATCGACATTGAGTTAGGCATGAGAGGAACAATTGTAAAGGATTTGGGGGGAATTCATTAAAATTGAGATGTGTAGTATATTCAGGATACTGGAAAGCCTTCTAAGTCCTCCCGAAGACTGGACATCATAGACAATGCAGTGAGGTATGGCTTATATCAGAAAGGATGGCAGCTGAGTGTACATTTATATTCAAGTTACAATTAGTTCAGGATTGTATATGGCACCTTTTTAGAATTTTTCACTTTAATAAACCTGTCTGACTAACCATCAAATCAATAGTTCCTGCAGCATCGAATAAGAGGCCATCTGCAGGATTCAGAAACACAAAAACTTACAAAATGTAGTAAAGTGGTAAAGGAGCTTAGGATTGGCGGATGAGAATGGACTGAAGTTACAGAGTGTGTGTGTGTGTGTGTGTGTGTGTGTGTGTGTGTGTGTGTGTGTGTGTGTAACAGAAAGAGAGAGAGAGACAGAAAGATAGAAACAGAAAATAAACTAAATTTACCTATGTTGATATTTATGTCCCTATATTCTTGCTATCCAGTGACTACTGAGAAAAGCAACAAAAGATGCTCGTTCATTAATCTAAGAAACTCTGATCTGACATCCTCAAAGGACAATACATTATCCTAGGTTATGGAGCTGCGAACACAAATAAGATATGGTCCCTCTATATGCCTTTAAAGTCTTTTTTCGCTTTTAGAAATGAATTCTCTTTACTGTGCATAAATAAAAAGAATACAAGTTTTTGTATTCTTTCATAATGCTGTGAATGTTTGGTCCCATGCTTGTCCTTAAAGCAGCAAGTTCTCTGATGCTCTTCTTATCGGAAACTCTGACTTTGATTTCTACATCTTCCAAAGGAAAGGATACTTCTTTTCCTGTATGATAGATTAATACTTGGTGGGGATCCCTATGTTGTTGGTTTTTCTCCCCTTTGGTTTTACAGACAGAAGCACACAGACAGACAGAAGTCTGTCTTTACAGACAAGACAGAGAGCAACAAATTAGGCATCAAGCAATACGAGTTCTCACTACATCTCCGCTTCTAGACCATGGGTGACCAAAGGGAAACCAAGGGCCTTCTCTAGGATGGGATTGGAATCTATATTCGTTAAGATTGTTTCCAGTCCTTCAGTCTCTGAGGTGCTCCATCGCCTTGGTTTTAATTTTTAATGGGCCTAGCATCCCTAATGAGGACATGAAAATAAAGCATGAAATTTGGAACATGTGCTTCTTTCATATAAACAGATTAATACAAAGTGCATTCTAGAATGTAAGCTTCATGAAGTTTGGGACCCTGTTGGTCTCACTCACGGCTATACCAGGAGTTGGATAAATATATTTTTTAAAGAATGAATACGTGTATCTTAGTTAGAAATATAAATGGAGAGGGAACATAAGAAAGGAAACTTTAGATCTCAAGGAAATTCTAAAATAGGGTTTTAACTATTGGAAGAGTAATAACTTGAAGTAGAAAGATTGGAAGACAGATTTTTGCATATTGTTTTGTTTTGTTTCCTCAAAGTATGGGACAGCCTGGTGGAAGATTTCAGGTTAGGAAAGAGTACACAGGTAGGAAATTCACTCATTTATTCAGCAAATATTTAAGTATCCTCTCACTATTTATGTAATGGTTATCAACTTTTTTATCTCATGACTCCTTTACACTTTCAAAACTTACTAAGGATCCAAAGTTTATATGTGTTGTATCTGATAGGTACTATATTGGAATTGACACCGAGAAATTCAAAATTTTTAATTTGTTAACTCATTTAAAAATAACAATAATAAGCTCTTTACATGTTACTATAAATATCATTTATATGACAAGTAATATATTATCCCCCCCAAAAAATTGAGTGAAATGATGAGCATTGTTTCATGTTTTTACAATTCTCTTTGATGTGTGCTTAATAGAAAACAGCAGAATTTCATTATCTGCTTCTACAGTCAGTCTATTGCAATGCGCTGTTTGGTTGAAATATACGAAATTACATAGAAAATCTGATCTGACATCCACAAAGGACCATACATTCATTATCCTAGGTTATGGAGATGTGGATATATATAAAAAATATATAAATTATATAGAAAATCTGGCCTTACCCAGGTATGGAGTTGGAAAAGGGAGGCCCTCCAGACCCTGGGAAGAACTCCCAGGGGTCTTCAGACCACACTGTGAAAACATTGTACTTGGGGGTAGTGAAACATGAGTAGTAAATTTTGCTTGTTCACCAGATATTTATGAAGTGCTTACCACGTGCCAGTAAATTGGGAAAAAAAAGATAATCTGATAGGATAAATGGTTTGGATGTTGAGGCTGAGTTGGAGTTTGGAGTTTCTTTAGACGGTTTACTATATCTGGGGTACGAAGGATGAGAGGAATAATACACGGTATGGGGAAGCGTTGATTGCGTACAGAGCCCATACTTGTTAAAATGGTTGTGGACTTAGATACTAAGAAATTGAAAGATGGAGAAGCAGCTCCTCCGTCTCGAAGCGGGAGTCAAATACTCCTAGTCCAAGAAGGTGTCAAGGTCTTATTGTTTTAAAAAAGGTGTTGGGGATCCTTGATACGTCAGCTGCAGCTTGGATTGGAGACCGATGTGGATTCTTGTAAGAGAGATGAGTGAATAGGTAGCTATAGATTTGAGGAGTAGTGTATAGTATGACTGATTCCATTGGGAGGGTGATCTGAGTCTGGAATCTTGAAGGTGCTGGATCCTTACCAGCCACTCCAGCACTCACCTGCTGTGCAAGATGGCCAACATTCATTGTTAAATCCGTGCGTGTTTAAAATCTCAGTTGTCTTTTTATTGGGGAACAGCCATGGTCATTGGTTACATATTGCTTTCATGCTACAGTGGTGCAGTTGACTCTTTTAAGGAGGACGCAGCTCACAGTGGCCCAGGTGGGGATCAAACCAGCAACCTTGGTGTTATCAGCACCACGCTCTAACCAACTGAGCTAACCGGTCACCCCCTCGGTTGTCTTTTTTTACCCTTCTGGGATTCTTTCAAAAGGAGAGAGAGCAAGTAAAATGTTAAATACGTATATTAAGCTTTTGTGTATGTTATGGTGCCTTGTTTCTGATGGATTTTCCTTTGCTTTTTTTTTTCCAGACCATCCAGACCTTTCAAGTTACCCAAAAGGTAAAGTAATCTGGATCCTCTTATTAAATAGCAACTTACTTACATGCTCTTCCCTTCTGGTGTTTTCTCCACATTTTGCTGCTATTTCCATTTTCCTGATTCATATTTTCATGAAGGAAAAAAATTTCCCCTGAGTTGGCTGCTTGAGGAATCCTAGATCTCCAAAAGCAGTTTTAATCTCTAGGTAGATATTTAGCATTTAAACTCTATTTCTGTTTAATTATTTATGGTTGTCTAATTATGTTGCATTTCTTCCTATAATGGATTGGCTTCTCAGTGTCCTATTTGTTGAGAAGAGAGATACCAATTCTGCCAACTTTCATGACTTAAATTCATGGCACTTTATTTCAAATAGATTGTTGGTGTTTCTTCCTAAAATTTTTATTACCATATTAAGATGGAAGTATTCTTTTATGTAGAAATTTTAAAGTTTTATCTTTTCAGTAAGAAAAGCAAATTTTTTAAATGGATTCAAGTTTCTGGAAAAAATCCTTGTCTCACCAGATGTCTTTGTAACTGTGGTTCCAGATATAGTATTATTATACTTTAAGGAACTCTAAGTGATCCCTGAAATTCACTTCTTAAGAAGCTCCGATGCTGGTAACTAAAACCTGCCTCCGGAGAGTTACCCACTCTTTGGAGTAAAACTACTACATAAATTTTAATTAGTAAACTCCCCTTTCATTTAAAAAAAAAGCAACTTTTTTTTCATGAAAAAAAACTTATATTTTTTTGTGGTAAAATATACACAGTATAAAATTTACCATTTTAATCACTTTTAAGTGTATAGCTTTATGGCATTAAGTCCATTCACATTATTATGCATCCATCTCCACCATCCTTTTCCAGAACTTTTTTCATCTTGTAAAGTGAAACGCCATACCCATGAAACAATAACTATACATTCCTCTCCCCCAGCCCCTGGCAACCACCATTCTACTTTCTGTCTCTATGAATTTGACTACTCTAATACCTCATACAAGTGGACTCATAACAATATTTTATATGATCTTGTGACTGGCTGATTTCACTTAACATAATGTCCTCAAGTTTCATCCATGTTGTAGCCTGTGTCAGAATTTTCTTCGTTTTTAAAGCTGAATGATATTCCATTGCATGCATTTACTACATTTTGTTTACCCATTTTTGTAAAAAGAAATATGGAAAACGGTAAAGGGAAGAGGTTGTACAAGTAAATATGGCATATTAAGAAAATGGATTTCCATATGTAGAAGTAATAGAGCCTTCTCAAATGACTAAAACTATATTTTCTGTTATTAGATTGATATTTTTTACGAGTGCTAAATTCTGCTTTAATACACACATAAACACAACTCCTTCAAAAAAGTCTTTCCTGGTTCCCTTTTCCCACCCTAGCTGGAAGTAATCTCTTCTTTTGTTGAATTCACAAAACATTTTATCTATATCCCTCTGAAAACACAGCTCTGCTTATCTGGTTTTGTAGATATTTATGTACGTGTCTGATTTCATGTGTTAGGCTCCAAGTTCCTTGTGGACAAGATCCATGTCTGCCATTTTTGTTTTCCCACAATGCCCTGCATCCTTACCAAGTAATGCTAATTGTTGAATGACTCTATTGCTTCACAAGAAAGAGTTCTGTATCCTGTTTTCTTCTGTGAAATTTCTCAAGCTTCAATCATTCCTCCCACTACATTGATAGTTGATGCCACTGGGTTTGTAAGGAAAAAAGGCATAACTTCTGGTTCATTTGAAAGGAAACTGATCCATTTAAAATAAAGTATAACAAGTAATTGTATGACTGGAAAGTTACGATTACCAGCATTTTGAAATGCTTGCCTTTAAAAGGCAGGAGGAATAAGAAGAGTTATGAAGGGAAATAGAAAGGAAGAAACCAAAGATGAGATTTTTAGAAAGAAAGGGGCAGCTAAAGTGTTAAATATTGCTCAGGTCAGGAAAGACGAAAACCAAGACGAGTTAGTTGATTTTGGTGGCTTCAGAAGAGTCATGAGAGCAAAAACCAGGCTAGAAGGGGTTAAGGATTGGGTGGTTGGTCAGGAAAAGGAGGTCTCAAGTCCAAGGCACTTAATACTCTGTTGAGTGGCTTTCTGCTCAGGAGGGAAGGGGAGAAAAGTAAGCGTGTTCCCAGAAAAGCTTGGAAGGGCAAAGGAAAAAAACTCCTTGCAGCTAAGAGAGGAAAATTTACTGTGGAGGGAGGGGCTTACTGTAATACAAATGGCCCGTGTAAAAGAGGCCCCCACATGATGTCACTTGAGCATACGTTAGCCCTGTAAGACTCTGAGTTTATTTATTTTATCAGTTATTTCTGACCTGGCACCAGAGTAAACCCAATGATAAGGTGGCTGAGAATCTCTGAGTATATTTGAGGGACTTCCCATTGGATACTCATGAGAACTTCCAGCATGGCGGTAACAAGCTAGACCAGGAGCCAGGCAGCACGCCCACCACCTGGGATCCACAGGCCACCCGTGAACACATTTCGTTCCTTCTGCCACTTGTTTCCTCCTGTAAAGGAGGATGAGTCCTTGAGACCTGTGTGCTATTTGAGACTTAAATCTATTGAGAAGATGCTGTGAACTTTTTATACAGCAGCACTGGCAACCGAGGCAGCTGCTCCAGCAATGGGGGCCTCAGGGAAAACTGTCACCTGGCCATTCATTGGAAAATGTCTGCCTGCTGTAACCCAGGTGTTACAGAGGCAGATTGCATTTACACTTACTGTTGGGTGTTGTCTAAAGATTTCCAAAATTAGATCAGGCAGATGAAAGACAAGCATTACATGATATGCAGAAGAACATATTCGAGTGAAAGGAGTCGTCCTTTGGAAAATTCTTCTAATATGCATGTGGTCCACTTCTCAAAATAACGCGCAGGGGCTCTGTTCTTTAAACTTAGTTCGAATACATTCCTTGAACCCAGACTCACCAGGAGTGGAATTAGCGAAAATAACTTAGCAGTGAAATTTTACAGGCCATTTTTAATTTCCTTTACTTCCCCAAGTTTCCTGCTTTATTAGATGTTTATCTTAATATTACAACCATTGTCTGAGTTTCATATTATACATGAAACTTTTGTTTTCCACGTGGTACCCGTAGCTATAGGATATCTCAGCGTAGAGGGCAGGAAAAACAGAAATATCCTCGGCAATAACATTGTGGGGTTTAGGAGAAACACTTGTCTGAATAAAACCCACTCAGAATAGCTGGGCTTTCCCCCGTGCTGCTTTGTGTATTCAGGACGGTGGTTGCATTCTTCAGTGGTAACGTTGCCTCTAGGAAAGGTTAGCACGTGAAGCAGCTGTGTGTGGAAGTGGGACTGTAATAGAGTGAGGTGAAACCTGTGTGGAGTGTATTGAAATCACTAATGCCAGAAAGCCTCCATATGTAGTCAGTGCACAGATATGGTGCATAGCAGCGCTGTAAAATCAAAACCAAATGTTTTCAAAGGGAAGAAAAGCAATTATGGAGGCGGGTTTCTAAGGTTGCTATGCATGTGTGTGCAGATTTCTCGAGAACACAAAACAAAAAGTCATTATATGGGTAAATTAAACCACAGTATGAAAACTAAGCAATTTGGGGCCCACCGCCCTCTATTGATACATGTTTGTAGGTAAAAATGAGTAACTTCTGGTTCATGTGAAAGAAAATTGATCCATTTAAAATAAAGTATAATGAATAATTGTATAAGCCTGGGGCCATTTTCATTTCATAAGGGCTGATATTTTAAAGGTCTACAATGTAAAGGACTGTTTTTAAGTCTGAAGCAATGAAGAGAAAGTCTCAAGGGTACTATTGACAAAAGACTTTATTGCTTCAAACCAGTTACTTTCATCTTAGTTTGCATTTGGTGGAGGAGGAAATAAAAGTATAGAGGATATAAGTATTGGGTGTGTTCTAGAAATTCGAAAGCTTCTGATGTTTTGTATTTATATATGAACAACCACAATCAGCATACTGTGATTTATATGTTTTCGTTATATTCAGAATTATTCTTAATCCATCTTATCTAGCAAAGTTTTCCTTAATGAATTTTTAGATTCAGAATTTGCAGTTTAGTGAATAATATTATTTAGACTTGAAGTCCTATGGCTCTAGATGGTTTTGCATGGAGAAATGAACTATTCGTGTGGCTTAGGAATTTAATTTAAAAATGTGAATTTGGGGAAGCATATATTTGTGGCAAGTTGACTTATTCCTGATGTTTTTCTGGTGTTTGAAGCCAGAGATGGTATCACAGTGGTTAAGAGGCCAGACTCTAGAACCAGACTCCTGGGTTCCAAACTTTGTGACTTTGTTTTTTTTGAGGTATAATTGACATAATATTATATTAGCTTCAGGTGTACAACATCATGATTTGATATGTGTATATACTGCAAAATGATCACCACAGTAAGTCTAGTTAACATCCATCACCTCACATAGTTACAAATTATTTTTTCTTGTGATGAGAACTTTTAAGATCTACTCTTTTAGCAGATGTACAATACACTATTATTAACCATAGTCACCATGCTGTACATTACATTCCCATGACTTATTTATGTTATAATTGGACTAGTTTTCTGACTTTGAACAAGTTATTTGAACTGTCTGTGCCTGTTTCATTTCATAAAGTTACTGTGAGAATTAAATGAGATAATAATCTATGTAATGGATAAGAGCCACCGGAACTTCTTGTAAGTGCAAACCATCCTACTTTATTTTCCTAAGATTACTTTTAAAAGAACAACAGTGAAAAATACCTGTGCAGGTACTCCTTTAAAGCATAATTACATTATAATTTCCTTATTAAAATTTAATTTGAAGTAAATACCCCCACAAAATCAGATGTATGAAGTTGACGGATCAGAATATAAACATCAACAATCTATTCTTAGAGACATATAGTAGCTTTTTCTAGAATTACATTTCGAGCCATCAACTTGATTTAACCCTCCATTGGGCGCAACTGATCTCACAGATTCAGCATTTATAGGGCTGCTATATCTGGCAGGTATACTGCATAATAATAGGCAAAACTTACACTGAATTTATGTAATAAACATATATTGTTTTTACTTTGTGGCAAATTAAAATTTCATTCTGAATCAATAATAAGCATGCGTACACATTATTTTCACTCATTTTCAATTTAAATAAATAAATGTCATACATGCATCTAGTAGATGCATTGTGCCCGAACTCGTAACTTTTGCATTGCATCCGATGGAGGGTTAAACTGCTAGCATCTAGCATGATGTTGAAGACAAAACTCACAAATGTATATGAGTAAGAAGCCTATTTCAGATGAGCCCGAAATAGCCATCGCAGCAGCCAAATGAGCTAACCTTGTCCACAAGTAATTGTTTCTTCTTTCTCTAGTAAAAATTCAAACCTGAAATTGGCAAGATAGACTTTATTATTTTTTAAATTAAAGTTTATTGGGGTGACAATTGTCAGCAAAGTTACATAGATTTCAAGTGTACAATTCTGTAATTTATCATCTATATATCACATTGTGTGTTCACCACCCAAGGTAGACTTTAAATGTTAGAAACTTCTAAATGTTGTCAACTTCTATTGAGCAGTCCATTCATGTCAAGTTCTACAAGTGTCAAGATAGTAAGGCATGGTCCAAGATTTCATGGAAGGGACACAGAAACAGGTCTTTCTGGCAAAGGTGGTGCATGAGGGTGTGGGAAGGGTTTCGGGGACAAATGGCTTGATGGTGGGGTTCGGTAACAGAGGGGTCGCCGACGTGTAGTAAGATACCAAAGCCAGGCTGGAGTGATTGGATGGTAAAGGGAAGGTAGATACAGGGGTGTTTGTTCATCTAATCAATAGACAGTTATCCAGCACCTTTTAAAAGATCCTGTTCTAGGTGCTAATACTGCAATAAATAAATAAATGAATAAAACAAAAATCTCTACCCTCCTGGAACTCTCAGCCTAATAGATATGTTCATTATCATTTTCAGCTAGAAAGAAAGTTACAGGTTTATAGGAAGTTTTTGGCATTCTTAAGATGTACACCACATGAACCTGGAATGGGCTGAGTTCTTTTTTAAGAGCTGATAGAATAAAAGTATGGAGAAAGGGAATAACCGGAGAACCACAAGGTCTGGAAGGGATTGCAAGGGGGATGGAGCCTCTGTTAAAATATATGTTCTTTTACCAGGAAGGACAGGTGGTAGAGCTTCTCTTTTCCGAGCACAGCGGTAGATATAAAATGTTATTTGTCAGAAATACAGAGGATGCTGACCGTCAGTAACCTGTGGCATAGCACCACTGATACTTTATCACAGAAATGAGAGGACAAGTTCTATTACAATTACATATAAGTACTTATAATCTCATTACGTCTTTTATGGACAAATGCCTGTACGAGGTCAGAAATAGGAGGACTGAATCTATTGCTCTCCTAGGTAGCAGAGAACCCTGTGTTGCTTCTAAGAGGCCTTCTTTGTAATTTCTCTCTGCTCCTGTAGTTACGCAGCCCTGATAGCCGACTGGCCGGTGGTGGTCCTGGGCATGTGCACCGTGTTCATTGTGGTCTGTGCCTTGGTTGGAGTATTAGTGCCCGAGCTTCCTGACTTCTCTGATCCATTGCTGGTAAGGAAAATTGAGCCAGTAGAATTGCTCTGTTTTCTTCAGCCCCAAATCATCTCTAACAATGAAGTATATTAATACATGTTGCATTATGTTATTTGGTAGCTCATATTTTAAAAAGCCTTCTCAAGTAATCAGTAAGTACCATATTTTGCCGCGTATAATGCGTACTTTTTTGCCCAAATTTGTGAGGGAAAAATAAGGATGCGCATTATACATGGGTAGTACTAATTCTGTAGCTATATAAATGATTTTAATTCTTATATTTATGCTTATGAGTTAAAAGTGTAACTCTAGAAAAAAAATAACAATATCCATATGCAGAATAATACCCTGGAATATGATAATTGGTTTTGTTGAACTTACAACGAACTTGCAATGACAAAGAGTTCTTGGCCTTCTATGATGTGTAAATATCATAAATTTGTTACCGGTACATAAAATTTCTTACAGCATAATATGTTAAAAAATAAATGCTAAAGTTCCTTTATAATACAAAAAAACAAGTGCCTAAATGTAAACAAATAAAAATTTGAATTAAAAAAATTACATAAAAGCTTTTTTCCCCTGAAAGTTTGGGCCAAAAGCATGCGTGCACATTATACATGGCAAATACAGTATAAATATGTCTTATCTGTATTGTCAGGTTCTTAAAAGGTCAAGGAACTTGCTCACCATCAGAAATCTGGGAATTTTGCTTCTTGGTCCCCATTTTAAGCTAAAAAGCAACTGGAGAATCTAAATACTATGAAAATGGTTTCATAAAGTCTTTAAGACTGAATGTCTCTTTTTTTCCCCAAAGAACTTACAGGAATTTCAGTATTACTAAGAGAAAGCAGAGTCTGTTTTTAAGTAAATACATCTCTGAAGTGGAATAATGAGGAAAATATGAACAAGGATAATGATATTCTCTTTGTAAAACACTGTAACATGTACAGCATAATTTAATTTGACCATAAGCTTTTATAACATAAAAATACGTATTTACTAAATGCTTAGGTATGAATTTAAAAGAAGCTTTAGATACATTTTCCCCCTCTTTCTTGAGACATGTAACATACCAAAGAACCAAACTGTTTTGTCACAGAAAATAGGTGATCATTATCGTGTCAAGTCATCTTGTTTTAATGCAGTTCACCTCTGGAGTAGCTGTGAGGAATGTCTGTATTTTCGGTTGAAAGCTATACATCATCACCTTGACGTTGCTTTCCCAAGCTGCTGTAACTATCCTTAGCCTCAAATGAAATACACTAATGGGAATTTGTAATATTTTGCCTTAGGGTTTTGAACCAAGAGGGACTACAATAGGCCAGAGACTGGTCACGTGGAATAACATGGTGAAAAATACAGGCTACAAAGCAACGTTAGCCAATTATCCCTTTAAATATGCAGATGAGCAAGCCAAAAGGTAATTTTTTATTAATTTTCAGACAAAACATTGCTTAGTGAATTCTACTTTTAAACATCGCCTGAGCAAAAAGATTAAATGTAAAATGTGTGGTTCAAAATCTTTGCCATGGAATTTGTTTAAATTGTCATTGTATTACAAGATTTTGTTGTTTTACGATGAGAAAGTGAGAGTTTGGGGGCTTTTTTTTTTTTCAGAAGTGAGAAAATTAAAGTTGGTTGCTTATATTAATCCTTCCAACTTCATTTCAAGTACTAAATAGGTCATGACTTTGAGGATGTACTGTTATGAGTATGTTTATTGGCCTTGAAATACCTAATATTTTACTGAAGATCAAATTGTTTCATTTCAGCCATCGGGATGATAGATGGTCAGATGACCATTATGAAAGAGAAAAAAGAGAAGTTGACTGGAACTTCCACAAAGACAGCTTTTTCTGCGACGTTCCAAGTGAGTGGCATTCATAGATGCACAAACCCCTTAGCAGTTTCCTAGCCCTTGAGATTGAACATGATTAAAACCTAGACTAATAGGAGTGTGTTGCTAGCCACACAGCTTCATTGTTTCTACCTTACTTAAAGAGATTTTAGCTTAATTAACTTGTCATTTTATTCCCCTAGGCCAGCCAACCACTAATCTGAATTTATTTACCTAAAACAAAAATTAATAAGAAAGAGATGATTGAGTTATATTCAGTTTTAAGGAAGATATAAATCTAATAAAATTCTTGGCTTGGCCCAAAATTTCAAGTCATTTTTTTAAGCTCCTTGTAGTATTTAAAAAATATTCCAGATCAATAACAAGTACATATTGTTGGAGTGAACCGTAAAATAACCTACTGTATGATCAAAAGTACATTTTAAAATTTTGATTGCGTCAAAAAGCATATATTATTAGCCTTCTATGTACCTGTTTCATCACCAGGCGTTAGAGGTAGAGAGATGAACAGAATAAAGCCCAGAGGCCCAAAGCTTGCATGCCTCAGGGGCCACACTCATAATATGAGTGAGTCAGGCTTGCAGGGTGTAAGATGCTAAGACGTGATGGCGGTTGTGGAGAACTAAGGAGTGCCCCTGGGAAGAGATCACCTGCTACTTCCCAGCAGAATGTGGCCTTGAAGAAACGAGAGCCCGAATACTGTAAGCACTTCCCTGAGGCCAGGAATCCAGATTTTAATGTTGGCAGCAAATTCACTAAAAATCTGATGTAACCTAGAGTCAGCCTAATCACTGCAGCTGCCACAGAGAGAGCACTTGGCCTGGAGGAAATACATGTACATATGTAAGTCATCGATTAGCCCTAGTGATTAGCAGCGAGGAATTATGGGTAATTACAGTTTCTGACAGTGAGTGTTAGCATTAAAGCTCTTTTGATTTCAGCTTTTGTTGGTTGTTGAAAATCTCTCTAACATGTGTGTATTCCTATCTTATTAGATCACTAGAAGACCTGATTGGATCTTTGATGTTTCTAGATCTTGCCAAGCCTCAGGGTCTTTATTTTGGACACTGTTTCACTATATAGTAATAGAGAGATAGAAAGTAGGAGATTAGGAAGAATTTTATACCGATCCCAGGAAGCAATGCAAGTTTCTTTTTCTGTCTTATTAGAAAAGTTGAACTCTGGTTAGTTTATTTCTCTCAAAGCATTACTTATATATTGCTTACCCAGCATCAGGAAGAACATTAACAAATTCATGAAATATAGTCTTGTTTATATTTCAGTAGTCAACGCTAAATATTCATCTCATAAGTAATAGATTCTGCCCTGATAGAATCTTCAGGTCTACTAGAATGAAATGTTTCAGTTTCCACAAGGCTTATTTTGGTTTGCAAAATCAGTCAACATAAGATACAGCCATTTGATGAAGACAAAGAGTTTACTAAAGAAAACTTCATAATCATGAATAAAAAGCTCATGTAATCAAGCCTTGTTCATAAATTTGCAAGTTGACTTTTTTTGTTGTTAGCACAATTAGGCATCTTCGATAATGTAAACTAATCTGCTTTGTTTTGCCTGGTTCGATTTTTTGTAATGGTTGTGGAAGAAGAAACAGTACTTACCGAGCACCTATTTTTCATTATCTCCTTCAATTATCACAACGATTTGAGATGGGCATTGCTGTCTCCATTTTAATGGTGAGGAACCAGTGAAGTGGCTAGTTGCTCAAGGTCACCAGCTCAGGAAGGACCAGACCTGGTTACAAGGCCATGCCCTTTCTGGTATATCAAACAACCGCCCTTATTCAGAAACGTATTTTCTATTAGTATGACTTTCAAAATCTTTTTCTAGACTGGTGTACCCGAGAGGCCATGTACTCAGCCGGAATGTGGAGGGCGTCAGTGATCCTGGCCCGCAGTTTATAGTTGACTGTTTAGAGCTCTCAAATTGATCACCTGCCATCTTTCCTCTCCAGTTAGCTGCCAAAGAGAACGTCCTTATAATCCATCCTTGAAATTCCCTAGTGCATCATTCTTGGATTGTATATACCATTGTGGTGATGTGTTGCGAAATTAAAAGGGAGGCATTTGATTAACTGCCTGTTGAAAGTTCAATGGATTGTTCTTCCTAATTATAGTCTAATCTGAAATGCATTTGTTAATGAAATCCTGTGATTTTTAAGATGCACTGAGTAGACAAAGGCTTTGAGCTCAGACAAATTATAGCATTCCTTTTTTTTTTTCTTTTTAACATTTTCTCCTGGAATTTCTTGAAGGGAAGGGGCCCCCGCTGCTAATGAATTGTCCATGTGGTCTCCCAGTTTGACCTGCTTCTGGATGCTGAGTCCTATGAAATGCACGAAGACTTTATAACCCTTTTTCTTTTCTTTTCTCATATCACCAGGTGACCGATATTCCAGAGTAGTATTCACTTCAGCTGGAGGAGAGACATTATGGAATTTACCAGCAATTAAATCAATGTGCAATGTAGATAATTCAAGGGTATGTAAAGGAAAACTGAAATATGTTTAGCACAACCAAGGTTATATTTTTGAAACTCTTACTGCCGAGCCGGTGTCGGATCAGATGAAAATACTTAAGTGGCTTACCTACCTATCGACGAGTAAACACCGACAGGCCAGCTCTGCAGTCTTTTAGATCCCGGGATCAAAGTGTCTCTGTGTTTCCCCACCTTTAAAACATACCATCTTTCTCAATAAAGGACTCTTTTTCTTTCTCACTCCTGTTCTCTGTCCATGATAGTCTTTTGTATTCTTTCACAGCCTATTTCCTTTCAGGATAATAGTTAAGACTTTTTTTTCTTCTTTTGTCATATTTTTCTCTTTCCTAATCTATGTTCATTGTTCAATGCATTTTCCCCTGAGGCAACTGTCAACATCTTAATTATACATTGAAAGGCCTGCCTCTCTAGCAGTCAATGGGTCAGTTGGGCCTGTGACCTCAAAGGAAAATTTAGGGCACAGGCTGGGGACATCAAAGGGTATAAAGACATATCTGTGTAAATGGCCAGAGTAATCCAATCCATGTTGCCCTGAACTCTAACCACCTTGTTGCTTTAGAAGACAGAAGGATGCAAGAGGACAGATGTCCTCTCTTAGTCTTCTCTGGATCCAAAGTGATGTCAGCACCAGAAAATGGAACGGCTTAGCAGAGCTGTCAATTTCAGGGGTTCTGGGGCAGCTTCTGCAAGTACAAACTGCTGTCTGATGTCACTAATGGGCCCGTCCAATCACAGTAACCAGGCAAAAAAGGAACTCATGGCATTCTGAGCATAACTCTAAGGTATCAAATCACTGGTTGGGTGAAACTCGAATCACGCACAGTGCTAAGAGCTAGCCTGGTGACTCCGTGCATCTACCTGTTCTAACAACAGCGTTTCTAACCCAATAGGAGGCAGAAAGGACTCTGAGGTCACCAGACCTGCAGTCTCATTGTGCTGCTCCCTTCCGAGCAGTAAGGGCTTACCCAGCTCACCTGGTTCATCCCAGATCTCCTGACTTTATTCTTCATGCTGAGAGGCTGTTTTTATGTTTTGAAAATAACTTCCCCTTTGATTGAGCTATTCAGATTTTCTGTGAGTGCCATCTTTTCTCTGTCCAATTCCAAATAGACCAAAGGCACAAACCACCTAGAAACAGACCACAGATTCTTCATCAGCGGTCAGTTTTTATTTGCCGTATTTTCTTCTGCAGCACTCAGTTCATTATTTGGAAGCTGTGAACTTATTTCTCCTTGTCATGGGTGACCACCCTTCTTATGTAGAAAGTTAGCTCTGGACTAGTAGGTATGCAGAGTACTCGCTCTGTGTAAGACTGTGTGCTCGGCACTTTCTGTCTCCTACGCTGGGCCTGTGACCTTGGAATTTACGATGCCTTTCAACGGATGAGAGGTGAAGCCAGTCTGATTACTGTATAATCACAGCTTGGATGGGAACAGTTCATTAACTTCTATGCCTCAGTTCTCATTCTTCTACCTTCGCACTTGGTCTCTAGACCTTCCTCCCCTGAAGACCCTGAAGTGACTGAATTCGTACATTTGATTAATAGCTGATTTTTACTGAGTGTTGTTGACATTTGTCAGGAAGTGTTCTGAACGCTTTAATGAATTGTTTTGTTACTCCCTGAATTATTGTTATTCATCCTCATGACAGTGTTATGAATTAAATACTATGATCTTGGCCATTTTACAGATGAGGAAAGCTCACACAGGTGGCAAGTAGCAAATGCAGGATTCGAACCCAACCAAGTGTTAATATAACTCCAGCCTGTGCCTTCTGCTCCCTGAATGCAGAAATAACCCCCTCATTTTTGTTTTGTTTTGATTTACTATAAATGCCATTTCCCACTCAAGTGAACCTTAAAGAATCACCATGGTCTAGAATAAGTATCTTTTATTTTCAAGAGCTAGCAATGTATTCTGAGTACATGTTAGACTGAGTAGACTCAGAGACTCAAAAGCCAGTAAACAGGCTTGTGCCCTTATAGCTTTCATAAGTGAAAGCAGTATATTCTTTCACACATACACCTCATAGTCACATATGTCTTATATTTATTTATGTATATAGATGCATCAGATGATTAAAATCAGCATCAATAGGTAGCTTACTAAAAGGCATACCAAAAGGATAAGTAAGTTGAATGAATTCCCTGAAGGGGAAATAATGGGAGGAAAATCATAAAGCTAAGGATGAGATTTAATGTGCAGTAACACTGCCACAGAGAGAGCACTTGGCCTGGAGGAAAT